CGTGTTGATAATTAGTAATGATGTGAATGGAATTTTAAAGACAAAGAAGTTTCTAACTTCCACATTCAAGATGAAATATTTTGGACTAGTTGACACAATTTTAGGGATTAAAGTAAAGTGAAATGTGGGGGTTATGAACTTAGTCAAACACAATATATTGAAAAATTGCTCGATAAGCTCAAACATTTATGCTTTACAGAAGTAACTACCCCATTTGATCATGGCTTCAAACTTCAAAAGAACAATGGAAGAGCAGTGACTCAATTAGAATATGCAAGTGAAATAGGGTGTCTTACGTATTTAATGCAATGTACAAGACCTGATATATTATACAAAGTTAGTAAAATGAGTAGATTTTCTAGTTATCCAAATAATTAACATTAGAAGGCGATCACAAGAATTGTTGGCTATCTACTAAAAACCAAAAATCTTGGACTTCATTATGATAGGTTCCCTGCCAGACTAGAAGGATATAAAATGAGAGTTGGATATCTAATGTAGGAGATCATAAATTGATAACTGGTGGATATTTACACCAGTTGGAGGACCAATTTCTTGGAAGAGCAAGAAACAAATATGCATTACTCTTTCAACCATGGAATTAGAGTTCGTGGCTCTTGCTTCCGCTGGTCAAGAAGCGGAATGGTTGCGGGACCTTCTGTTAAAAGTTTCATTAGCAAAAGTCAATGTTTCAAAGGTTTTGATGCACTACGATAACAAGGCCACTTTAGTGAAAGCATTCAGTGAAATGTATAATGGAAAATCTAGACACATAGGACTTAGAAACTCCTTCGTGAGAAAATTGATTAAGGATGAAATCATTTCACTCGCCTATATAAGAATGAGCTATAATTTGGCTAATCCATTTACCAAGCCACTGGCCAAAGACTTAGAAAAAACAACCTCAAGAGGTATGGGGTTGAAACTCCTTGAATAAGAGTTCTAACAACGACGACAACTCAATCATACGTTAATAGAACATTAACCTCAAGATTCAATGGGTAACAACAAGTCGTTGATTTTGATATTTGTTAGACATTTGATAATAATGTTGACTATTTTGAATGAGGGTTGAGTTTTTCAAACTCTTAATGAAATTCAATACCGAGAATAAGTATCTCATGAAAAAGGATACAATATGAACTTAACCTATGTGAACTTCGAGATGGTGTAATCTCAAAGTGAGAGTTGAAGTTTCTATCACAAAAAATTCATGAAACAGGAAAGCACATGGCCATAAATAAGTGATAGGTAAGATATGCAGGGGAAGAACCCTTAAGTAATGAGTGTAAGGCAATTTCGGTCTAATTATATGGATTAATGGCTTAAAAGCATTGTTATCTAACATTCTGATTAGACTTTGCATCGTACTCACTAAGGTTAAGTTTTAAATAGACAGATATCTAAATGTATTAATATTCTTTATACCTCATTTTTTGGAATTAGATTTTTCATTATTAGAACAAGTGGGGGATTATTGGAAATTATGGACAATCAATGCCCATGGGAGTGTTCCAATATGACAAGAAGTGTGTAGTTGAGTTAATGACAATAAATGCATTGCCAATAGTCCCACATAGAATATGATACTCACATTAAAAGTATTTATGAAGACTTGAAAACATTAAAATCAACAAAGGAGCTAAAGAGGATAAAGTGCCACATGGACAAATGTGGTGCTCCCAAACATTATGCCACATGTCTCATCCAAACAATCCTTTGCTGGTATTGCCACCGGCAATACCGGCTCTGAAACTGGGTCTGAGAGCCTGGGCGTAGAGGCTCTAGTGGCGGCTTATAAAGGGCACTTGAGCACTTATACAAGACGCATCAGAGAATTCAGGCTAGTTGCGGCGTTATACGGCGGCACCGATGGCGCTTTAGCGGGCGTCGGCATGTGGCCGACATACAGCGGATTAATTTTAATTATTGCTCCTGGTTTTGGCCGTTGCTTAAAGTTTGAATTTCGAATTAGAAATATGCAAGACTTCATGATGTGGTGCATAATGTAACCATATGCGAACTATTGCAAACTTATGCCGAAAATGCGTTATTTCATCAAGAGTTGCAATCTTGTGAAACAACACATGCATGACCTATAAATACACTATTCAATTTCGAAAATAACAACAAAAAACTTGTGTATCCTCTTCATATAATTCCATATACTCTTTCTTGCATTCGAATCTTCATCAGTCTTGTGTGGATTCTATTAGAAGGCTGAATTATCCTAAATGTTCTTGCGTTCCAACTCTGAGACTATGAAGGGAGTGCTTGAAATACTTTTAAAAAAAAGTAAAACCACTCACAATTCAAACCTAGATTCATTTAACTTTAACGATATTTCTAACAATGACTTGCTAAGAAACGAATTATAAGGCAAAAATATTTGTATCCTTCACCTCTTTAATGTTTTTTTGACAATCTAAAAAAGAAAATGTATCATTATGCACCAACGAGAGGGTTCATACCACATCATGATAAATTATAACAAAATCACCCATTTGACTTAGCCTTAGTAAGGAACATAAAAACTCAAAAATAATCTCAAATTCCCTAAAGAGAGTTCAGAGCACCAATTACCCCCTAAAGATCAAATATCAGATATTATAAACTAAACAATAAATAATAAACAAATGAGAGACTGATTCAAGTCTAACCACAACAAAATACAAGAGATATTTTTGGATCGTCAATAACATTCCACTTGACCAATTCAATTGGCTTTAGGAGAGAAAAAGACGAGATAATCTTAAACTATCATTATGTTATTTCTTTAACTCATGTTTTATTTTGTAAATCAGTAGTAATAATTAAAAAATATATTGAGTATTTCAACGGCACTAGTAATTGAAAAGAAAAGAGTAATAAATTAGTGTCAAGTAAGAAAGTGGTGGTCCTTGTAATGTAAAGAATTTTGCCGTCCACGGCCCGCACCTTGGGTCACTCACTCGCTCAAAATATTCAGTAATTCAAACCAATAGTACACCTAAGGGTAAAATCGACTTTCATTCTTAAATAACTTGCTCCATTTTTATCACTAACTAATAAATGGCTCCTTTAATAAATACTATAATCAGTGGGCGCATAGTGTGACTCTTTATTGATTTGTTTTAGCACAAACTGGAAAAACAAACTTCTACTATGTAATTTGGAACTTATCTTATCATGAAAAGTCTAAATCTAATTCATAAACACTGACACGTAACTTTTTGTCTTGTGTTTATCTATCTTCTAATGTCTATCTTACGTTAAAGATAGATAACCGTCGATTTCTTCTTAAGGAAACACTCTCTAGTGTGCATTTTTTTAATAATTTAGTATTATTAGGTGAAACTTGCTATAATCAAATGGAGTAACAACCAAATACTATGTTTATGTTTTCTTTTCTCAAGAAAATAGTGGATTATTATAAATGTTTTGTTCAAAAATTAAAAATAATTATAACAAGATGAAATAACATTCTCGTACTTCATGTGAGTGAATTTATAAAATTAATAGTCTAATAACGTATTAAAAATATATATAAGCATATCTGAATTTTAATGTTTAAAAGATTTCGTATATAGAGATTGGTCGAGATTATTTCCGGTTTGATTTGATGTTGCATGTAAATCATATATAGAGATTTGTATGCAAATTTTTAAAAATAAAAAACTATTACCTTTAAATGATACAGTTAATTTGTTATTTTAAAAAAATTTCTTTATTTTCAAAAGTAATTTTTAATAAAATTATTCGAAAATAAAAATGTATATTTAAAATTCATTTTTATAAATTAAAAATATAACTTAAATGTTAAAAAACTTATATATTTATTAATTGACAATTTATAACATTAAACTCGCTAAAAAATTTATCATTTTTATATAAAATAAAACTATTTAAAATAACTTTGTATGGAATTCATAATGAAAAGATGAATTGGATTTAGTTTTGAATATAAAATTAAAATTTGTTATTAAAATAATTGTAATAAAAAAATATTGTATTAGTATTTTAAAAAAGAAAATTAGCTTATATCGGATATTTCAAACAAAATAAAATCTTGAGTCAAAAAGAGGTTACTTATAAAATCTCAATTATCTTATTTCTATTAAATAAAACTTTCTTATTCCAAATTAAAAAAATTAAATTGATCAATTTCTAAAATAATTGTTATATTAAAATTATTAGTATTTTAAAATAATTATTATATTAGAATAGAAAAATTACATAAATATGATATTTCAAACAAAATAGGATACTCATAAAATCTTGTGTCAGGAAAAGTTTACTCGTAAAATCTTGAGTCAAAAAGAGATTACTCATAAAATCTCAATTATCTTATTTCAATTAAATAAAACTTTCTTATTCCAAATTAAATTAATCAATTTCTAATTATAATGACGCGGTTTCTTTACGGCGAAGACCGCGCAAATCTGACTTCGTGTGAAGAACTAACTAACAAGCCAGCCAGCAAAAGAGTAACTATCCCATGCAACCGCACTCACCCTAACCTCATTTCACTACAACCGTTCGATCAAATCGACCCCACATCAATTTTTTTATTTTATAACAAAAGATACATTACATTAAATCTCGAGCCCAATGAAAATCAATGAACCCAAAGACGTGGAAAATTCTTCTTCTTTTTCCTTTATTTTAAAAAAAAAAAAGAGAAAAAAAAAAAAAGAGAAAGAAAAAAAAAACAGAGTAACTTATTAAAAGGTAGAAGAAGAAAGAAGAGATCATAAAACTGAGTCAATTCGGTTTTGAATTCCAACCGCTGCAACAAAATTTTATTTTTTTCTCTTTCTTTCACCAAATCCCACAATTTCATTAAACCTTTTTTCTTTTTTAATGCTCCCTTCTTCAATGTACATCCATGTCCTGTTTTACGACAAGCTCATTATTTCCGAAACCGTGTTTTTCTTCAATTAATTGATTCAATTCGTTGAATTAAACTCAATTCCCATCTGGGCTTTTGAAAAAGTTTCGAAATTTGAAGGGAAAAAATCATGGGGGTTAAAAACGATAGGGTGAAATTCAATGTCGGAGGCAGAGTATTTGAAACGACTTCAACAACACTTGCAAATGCTGGGAGAAATTCCATGTTGGGTGCAATGTTAGATGAGAATTGGAATCTGTTAGACAATGGAAGTGAGAGATTCATCGATCGTAACGCAGATTGCTTCTCTGTTATCTTGGATCTGTTACGAACAGGTGAACTTTACATCCCAAATAACATTCCTGAGAAGCTTTTATACAGAGAGGCTCTGTTTTATGGTGTTCTAGACCATGTTCGTTCTGCAAAATGGGGTCAGTTTGATGGTAACAGGTTAAGGTTGTCCAGGTCTGTTCAAGGACAAGCACCCGGTGATGGAACAGCAATTCGAGGTGGTCCAGATGGTGGTTGTTGTGTTGCTCATGGTTGCATGGTTCATGTTTATGATTGGATGTTAGATCAACACAATCCTGTTAACCTTGATTACCAAAGAGTCAACGACGTTGGTTGGGTTGACCCTAACAACATAGTTATAGGTGTGAGTGAAAGACTTGGTCGTGGTGATGGTGGAATGGGTTTGTTTAGTTCACATAATGGTGAACTTAGGTACAAGTTTCATGTTAGTCATGAAAATCATGTTAAAAGTTACACTGCTGGTGCTTTGAGTTTTAGTTCTGATTACAAGATTTTTTCTAGTTGTAAAGGTAGAAGTAATGAATATGGTGTTGGTGTTTGGGACCAAGTTACTGGTAAACAAGTTGATTTTTTTTATGAGCCTTTAGGTTGGTCGCTTGGCGATGCTGATAAACTTCAATGGTTAGAAGGTAGTAACTGTTTGTTAGTTGCTACAATGTTTCCTAGAAAAGATAACTGTTACATTAGTCTTTTGGATTTCAGAGCGAAGAAAATGGTTTGGTGTTGGTCTGATATAGGTGCGACATTGGTTGTGGATGAGAAAAGGGTGAGAGATGCTATAGCAATGGAGGGTAATAGATCAATTTGTGTGGTGAATGAGTTTGAGGAATTAGGTTTCATGGATTTGAGAAGCTCTGCTGCTGCAAGTGTAAGATGGAGTTCGAGAAGTAGGTTGATGAAAGGGAAGATGCCTGAAGAACCATGTTACCCTAAATTGGCATTGCATGGTGGCCAACTTTTCTCTTCCATGAATGATTGTATTTCAGTGTTTTGTGGACCTGAATGGGTTTTAACGTCGAGACTTCGACGAAGCTATGGTGGGTCAATCTGTGATTTTTCAATTGGTGGTGATAGGCTTTTTGCACTTCATAGTGAAGAGAATGTTTTTGATATTTGGGAGACTCCAACACCACCAATTCTATGATTTAATTTTGTTTTTTTTGCTTAGTTTAAGGTTAATTTTTTCCTTAGTTTTTTCATAACCAGATTGCTTCTGCAATCTTATAGATAGTGTTGAATCTAAAACATTGTATGTATATATACACAACAGAGGATATTATAAATGTGGATTGCTTATTTTTCTATACTCTAGTGAATCAAATTTCATACATCACTTTATATCTCTTGAAGATTCTAAATTCTCACTAGCATTAAGCTATTCCCTCTTTTACTTTTGAGATTGTCATATCCAACTTTGTACTTGTTTCTTTTAACCTTTTTCTTTTACAAACATGGAGTAAAATGAGGTGAAGTTCTTTTGATAGTATTAGAATGGTGAAGAGAATAATGAGAAATTTCTTAGCATGTGGTGGTGGGTGGGGTGAGTTACATCTGCAGCTTTTAGGTCACTTTTACTTTCCCTATTTAATTAATATTGCATAAAATATACTTTGAATTCTTTAGGTTGCATTGCACCAAATCCATCAAATGTTGTATAAATGAAATGTCTATAGTTATTATGATGTTAACATGTGGTAATCAACCAAACCACTATCTTTAATGCAGAAGTTCTAAATATTAATTTAATCAAACTTAGATATTATGCAGTGGAACAGAAGATAGTAACAATATCCATGTGGCTCTCTGCATTGTTTAGGATATTGCTTCACTTTGAAGTTTGCAAACATTTATGGTTGAATATGAGCTTTTCTTAGACCAAAAAGAAAACAAATACTTAAATGTTAGTATGTCAGTAATGTATAAAAACAAAGGATCAAAAATGTCAGAACTCATTCATGCATTAAGTTCAAACCACACACTCCACGTGATATTTTATCTGTTAGAAATTGTTTAAGCATAATATAATAACACTTTTCCAATGTGATCGAGATTACACTAACGTCTACATTGACCTAATGATAGTGTGTTTGTTTCCCCGATTAATATCGTCTTCCAGTAGAAGCTACCTTTTGTAGCTTCGTATTATTCGTGCATTTGATTCTCTCCACCGTGAAAGCAAACACACGCTGAATGTCTCTCGGGGCTTGCCCTTGTTAAAACCTGAACTTTAAGAGAGCTTCGAACAATTTCCTCTTGTTATATGTGATATAAAAATGGAACAGTACAAAATAAAATTGATCACTGAAGAGAAAGTGAATGGTATACCTTCCTAATTTGATACATAAAAAATTTATATGAGAATAAGTGAAGTCGGACCTAGTTAAGCATAATCAGGCATTACTTTCTTCAAAAACTTAATTGAACCAGATTCTTCAGGGGCAACTTCATCAAAAGAAACATAATTTTGCTCCTTATCGTACACATGACACACCGTCAGGATTGTCTTCATCAATCGCCAATTCCAACTAGCCTCATTCAGATACTGTTTTTCCAACACAGAAAATTAAGATATCAATAGTTAGCTTAAGTGTTTGTTAGTTCGGACATTGATAATGTTTTAGAGTTCAATGCTGACCCTCATTTCTTTCATGAAGAAAAGCATAAAAAGATATTGGCATTATTGATCTTACCTTTCCCCAATTTTCTTGGAGAGATTTATGGGCTGCTCGTAAATTATAGCTCGGTATTTTCGGGGATATATGGTGTGGAATATGGACATTAATATCATGGCATAAGATCTCGATCCTGTTTAAAAAAGAAGTCAGAAATACCGATTAGTCAGGGTACCATCAAGTTAATTCTGCAAACCTGCACTTTGAAGACATCAATGTGCAATGAAAGAAAAAACATTCAATGAGCCATGAAAGAAAAACATTCAACAGTAGCTGATCTATTATGAAGCATATACTACATTCACGCATCCAGTTATTGGCAAGAAAAACATACATTAGAATACAAAGAGCAGAAAAAATACATTACCATTGAGGGTAAGCGCAATGAACCGTTCCATTAAGCTGTGCTTGTGCGGCATTCCACTCTTCTGAATATTTGAACGGTATGTGTGGTGCAGTATGATGTACCATGGTGAAAGTACTCATCTATGATTGAGAGCAAAAGAATACCTCTTAAACTTGTACTATAAATTTCAACTGTTATTAAATTATTAAATTATGCAACAACTCGACAAGTGAAATTACCCAGAAGTGATAGCCCAACCATGGCATCAACCAGAATTTTATCCATCCCATGATTCCAGTCTTGTAAATAATTAATGGCCATCCAATTGCTATGAAGCCAAAAACACAAGCTAAACTTATCTTCACTCTCTTTATTTCATTGGGTCTGAACTTCGTCAAATCGAAATGAACGACCAACCTGAAAGAAATTAAGACGTGTCATGATTCTGTATAAACTAAAATACTAAATGTCAAAATAATTGAAAGCAGGGCTGATTAGGAAGTGTTTAATGCATTCCAAGGCATATAGTTGATCGTACCAGTGAGCTATAGACATCCAGCATCGAAGTGGACCGTATCCATTTATTATTGCTTTCCTCAAAAGTGGATTTGACTCAATCTCGTCTTTCCAAACAGGCTGCCAAGCAGTATCTTCTTTCAACCTGTATCATTAAAGATGATTTACAGTAATGAAACAGAAAAGCTACAGCTTCAGTCCATACATGGATGTTAACATTACACATCTTATACGGTGCTTTGATTTATGCATACTGCATGCAGCCTGAATTTTACACTTTCAATTGGTTTTTCAAGGCTAAAAAAAACACAAGTTTCACACTTCATGCATTGAGTATAAGTATTAGTAAGTCCATCTACGGCAGAAATTTAATGCTACAAATGATTTACAAGATGCACCTAAAAAACAAAAAATAGAAGAGAACACCACTTACATGTTTGTTTTTGCATGATGCTTGTCGTGCTTAAATCGCCATGGCTCATATGGATAAATTAGTGGTAAAAAGGCCAGAGTTCCAACAATGTCTTCTACCAATTTGTTTGTTGAAAATGATTTGTGAGCGCAATCATGTCCTATAACAAAGAACTGCGTGGCAAAATGGAAAGAGGATTTCAAAACTTACACCCAAAAAAGAAGAAGCTTGCCAAGATCTTCAAGATATGAGTTAAAATGATTTGAGAAATCAGTAACAAATAATCATAAGTCAAATGTGTGTTGAACTAACCCCAGTTACAGCAGTCCCCGTCCAAGCCCAAGCCAGAGGAAGTAGATACCAGGGTGCTTTAGAAATCATAAAAAGCCCCAACGCATACGAAGTGGCCGATATCAAAACAGTTTTCCATGCTTTCACATCATCAATCTCAAAAACCTTCAAAATGTAAAGTGATTATTATTTAAATATAAATAAATATTGAAACTATCAATATCGTGGAATGGTTACTGTTAAGAGTCTCACATTGGATGAGATATAGTCCAACATTGTGTTTATAAGTAGTGGATAGCTCAGCTTACAAGCCGGTTTTTGTAAGAGTTGAGTTAGGCCCAACCCAAATTTCAAGAGTTACAAAAGAAAGAACACATCCTATCTTTCTTTCTTTCTGGCTAGTATAATTTTTCCACCCAAAGTATAGGGTGTGAGAAAAAAACAAGAATGGCGTAGAGATAGATGAATCATATATAGTCATCGACACTTTCTCTTAGTCATAAAGTGAAGCAAATGTTACTCTTGTCATTGATGTTTTATTATAAACAATAAACATGTACCGAATCGTGCTACAAGGAACAACTCCTTAATATTCTTTACACAAGAAGAAAACACCCTAATGAATGTTATTTAAGTGATCAAATGAAGGAATCTAAAGAAGTGTCCCTACATTCTAAAATTTCATGATAAAGTACTGACACTGAAAAACATGACATAGACTTTAATAAAAGCACCTTCTTAGGAAGAGAAGTGATGACGTCCTTCAACGTAACAGTGTCAGGAAGCGGCTCCCCAATTTGGTTAAAACCGTAGCGTTCTGCTAGCTCTTTTCTGTACTCCTCACTTTCCACCGGAGCTGGCTCGAGCGGAATTGCCACAGCTCGTATAACTCCAACTTTACTCCTACGTATAAATTGTCTTTGACCTTTATGGATTAACCTGTCACCCTTTAGGTTGAACGAGCCTGCGACGACAATGTAGCAACTGGTTATTTTAAAGGCATCCATATCATTCATACACAATTCATTAAGTATAAACTTTAGGTATTGCCCGTTTGTCTTCTATTTCGTGTTTATTAACAAAGGTATCATGAGTTTTAAGTATACTGATACTGTATGAAAAATTAGCACTAAAAATGGTATCAATGAGTAAAAGACAGAGAAATCAACAACAGAGAAATTTGAAACAGAATGCTAGTGTAGACAATTCAGTGATAAACTCAATTAGTTGATTAATTAAAAGTTAAGTAAAGGAATAAGATGCATGGAATACCAGCAATGTTTCTTCTGGAATTCAAAAGTGGCGTCCGGTGGGAAGAAGAACACTGCAAAAAGAAAAGGTGAATTTGAATTGAAGAGTTGAAACATTGAAAGGAGAAAAAGGAAAGAGAGGGAAAATGATGAAAACCTTTAATTGGAGTAATGAATTTGCAGAGGTGCAAGCCATTTTGAGAGGAATTGAGGTTTCTCTGTAGAAAAGATAAACTTTTTTGGTTTATATATTTGACGAGTGAGAGAGAGAGAGGGTTCAATGGGATTGAGAAGAGAGGAAGTTAGCGAGAGTGTTTGGGTGTGGGCCCTACCAAATGTGGATGCAGATGGATAGCCCATTCCAGCCGCATGTATGTATGTACTTCTCACGAGATGCACCATTAATTATTAATTAGGGTGGCATTTTAGGAGACTAATGGTCAAATTTGTCTACCAAAAGCCAATCGTCCTCATGATTTAAGAGACTAATTAATTGCTACAACTATGCAATTAATCAAAAACGATTTAAGAGACTAATTAATTGCTACAACTATGCAATTAACAAATAGATTTAATTATAACTTTGATCTTTATTTTCAATTCGATTAAAGTAGAAAGAATCCGAGAAAAAAAACTTTGAAGATTAACGTAACCTCCATCATTTGACAACTATGGAAAATTATAATTGAACCTCTTATTTTTAATTCGAGTAACTTTGATCTCTTGTTTTTAATTCAATTAAAGTAGGAAGAACATAAATTTTGTGGAGATTTTCGTAATCTCCCTCATTTGACAACTATGAAAAATGACAATTGAACCTCTTAAAAAGGGGACAAAGGTTACAAGGTCTTGCAATGCATTCATAGCAAAAAATTATGAGAAAAAAAGCTATGAAGATTAATGTAATCTTTATGTGGGATGGAAAAACACCTCATAGAAAATTTAAAATGTCCTTCAGATTTCTAAGATGCATTTTCAGACATATATTATTTTAAATCAAAATGTTAATTGATCCTGAGATATATCTTTAGAATATTTTAAAACATTCACCATGCATCCCACTCTGAAAGGCATTTTACACGTTAATTATTTCGGAGATACATATTCGTTTAGTGTTTACGGAGATGGATCTTCGTACCCTATCAGTATAGTGCAGATTATGTTTGTTTTATGGTTTACGCAGATGAAAGTGATGATTTATAAACGTTAATAACCATGTTATGTGATGAGATTTAAATCATACAATCGATATGCAAAAGTAACATATATATAAATCCAGATGGTCCAAAAATGACATATATAAATAAAGTTAAAATACACGATAAAGTAGAATGAAGTGAAAATAAAATACAATCTATAACGAATAGTACAACTAATATATATCACTGCACTACTGTGTATGTCGGACTACAGCTACTCTGACTCATTGGCCTCCATTACCCCCCGTCCTTTGGCGTTGTCTCCGGTACAACAATGTCTCTCGTGCATCTATCACAATGGCATCTAGGACCTGCCTTACCTCAGACTCATCAGGGAAGATACATCTGTCAATGTCTGTCTGCACTCCACTATGTAACAACATTTATGCAAGGCATCATGAGCATGATCTAATTGTGGTTGATCCTCCTCTAGTATCTCCTGATGAGCTGGTCTCAGTAGATCTCCTAGAGTAATATGTACCATATACGAATGTGACACCCTAAAGAACCACCTGATGTACTCGTCGATGTTGAAGGTGAGAAAATACTTAGAAGGGGGTTGAATAAGTATTTATATAAAACTTATGGCAATAAAAACTCAGATTTTTATCCTGGTTCGTTGAACTCAACTACTCCAATCCACCCTATCAAGAGTGGTTTTCCTTTCTCAACAAGGACTTAATCCACTATTAATCAACTGATTACAATAGCAAGCACTAAGAGCAATTGTTCTTAGTCTTTTTAAGAACTACTGATCCCAACTGGATCTTCTTAAGAATCTTTTACAATCAAATGTAAGAATAAAACAAGTGTTTAAATGCTTCTAATTAAGCTATATCACAACTGTGATTTTACACTTAAGTTTTTAAGAACTTAGAAATAAATTCAGCAAGATAAAGATTTGTATGAGAGCTTGTAATGAATTTCTTTCAATATTTCGTCAACTGAAGAAGAGTGATGGAGTCTTGCTTTTATAGGCACAGAAGTCCAAGTTGTTTTCACGTTGAAGACTGTGTACTGAAAAGGGCTGTAGCCTTTTTGTCTTCACATTACATGACCTTTTCTAGAAGTAGAATGCACAGATAAATCCTTTTTGTATGTGTTCTTGTGTCTAGCATAAATGAGGAAAGAGTCGTTTGGTCTATCCAACGGACATAACTTTGAATTCTTCTTCAACAAGTTTCTAATACTCAACAAGTAACATCAGAGCCTTGAATGATCAGAGCCTTTGATGTTCATCAGAGTTTGCTGAATCAGAGCAATGCAGCAAGTATGCTTTCAGCGTGTAATTGTTCAGAGCAGAGTTTTAGGATCAGATCCTCAGTACTGGCAGCATAGTACTATCAGAGTCTTCTGAAATAAACTAAGCTTGAAACTCTTCATACAAAATTCTTCAATGCTTCAGATGCTTCTGGCTTCTGCTTCAGATTCTTCTGTAGCTTCTGCTTCAGATCCTTCTGTAGACAGCGCTCAGAATCTTCTAGAAGATGCTTCTAACGCCTCAGAGCCTTGCATAATTTCATGTTCAGATCTAATTTGCTTTCAGAATAATATTTACTTTAATATCTGCAGCAAACATACTTAAACAAATTTTAGAGTATATAATTCTTTAATACAAAATTTCGTAAGAGTTATCATCAAAACATAGAGATATAATTAAGAACCAATCCGTGTTCTAACAATCTCCCCATTTTTTATGATGACAAAAACATAAGAAATTTTGTTCAATAAAAATATAATTATAACTCCCCCTGAGATAATGAATCTCCCCCTGAATTGAATACTTAGAAAGAATAGAAATTTCCCTTTTTATATGAGTATTCTTTTCAGAATCAGAGTCTGATTATTCTAAAAAATTAGATCTTGACTTGGATGAATGTTTTAGAATCAGAGCCTGATAGGTTAAACTTGATCTGGAGATCTCAGAGTTACTTTTAAAGAATTTGTCAGATTTTTCAAATGTTCTGAAATACTAAGAGTTCACGTTAGATATAATTAGATATGTCTGAATTTCATTTAGGTAGAGTTTATTTAAATAATCAGATCCATTTTCTCCCCTTTTTTTGTCATAATCAAAAAGTAAAACTTTTAAAGACAAATAAAAGGAAATACAGAAAAGGTGCATTCATGAAGAGAAAACATCAGAGTCAAACATTCATTCAGATAGAAAACAGACAAATCATCAGATAAGAAGTTCAAGTACATGTGCACAAACATCAGATACAGAAAACAAAAAACTAAGTTTGCTTGGAAAGAATCATCTTCAGAAGATGGGTGATCTCAGATGTAGATTCTTCTTGCTTGGACATCCACTTCTCAATATTCTCAGTCTTCTGATCTTGTTTAGCCATCCAGGACTTGATCTCAGATTGCCCAGCTTCCAATACTGCAATCTTATCTTCTAAGTCTGGGTTTTCTTTCTTGATCTCAAATGAAGAAGATGGAGTAGATTCTGGAGCAGGAGCAGAGTCAAGAATCATTGGAGTTGCAGAGTCTGGGTCCACAGATTCAGATGCAGAAGGTTGATTCACTATTGTTAGAGCCAAAGGATTCTCTTCCATGATAACTTCAGAAGCAGATTCTTCAAGAGTTTCAAGAGTAACAAATACTCCAGAAGTTGAAGGTACATCTTCAAGGAGCATAGTTGGAGATCTTTCCAAGTTCCATAGCATGGTTCTGGTAGACTCAGCAAATCTGAGCTTCGCATCATCAGAGAAAGCATTCTTCAGATTAGAAGCAACCATATTGAATCTTAAAATGAAGCTATTCCAAATAGCATCAGATTCATTGAAGTTCATGGTTGACAAACATCTTTTCTTCATAGAGCCTAAATGCATCTTAAATTCTTTCAGAAAACTAGCAAATAAATTATCAACATTCAGCCTGGGTTTTGGTTTAAGAAAGTCTTCCAGAGTTATTGGTTTAGGTTGTTCTGGTGGTGGAATGGTGAATTCTGGGATGATGATCCAAGGGCTAGGATAAGGTGGTGCCATCTTAGCAGGCATGAGATGAAAGAATGGTTTACGTTGGCGAATTCGTGGAACAATACATATTTTATCAAAAAAAGTATGGGACAAATGCAGATTGTCTTGGCTTATCAAGGCATGGAACAGAATCTGATTGTGTTGGTTGATCAAAGAAATGTTCTATTCGGGTTCCAGATGGAAGGGGATCAGATGAAATAGGTTCAGAAGATGCCAATGAAACAAGTTCAGATGTTCTTGGGGTAGGTTCAGGAATGATAGCATCAGATGGAATAGATGTATCAAGATGTGTTTGTTCAGGTTGGGTTGGTTCAGGTTGGGTTGGTTCAGGTTGTGTTGGTTCAGGTTGTGTTGGTTCAAGTCCTCTGAGAGAAGGGGGTGATCTAAGATCTGGATGAACATCAGATTCAGATGAACCAGATGAAGTAGAAACAGAACAGGATGTTGAAGATACGTCAAACATCATTTTGAGGGGTTGGATGTCTAGAACCTCAGAGTCAAGTATGTTTGATTCAGTGGATTGGGTTTGATCTGGTTGAGGGTTAGGTTGAGGAATAGATTGAGGAATGGATTGAGGAATGGGTTGAGGAATGGATTGTACAAATGTTGGTGGTTCAGAAACAATGGGTTCAGATGGAATTGGTTCAGGTACTGGAATTTGGGAAATTTCAGGTTGTTGAGGTGTTGGAATTGTTGATTCTTGTGGTGTTGGTGTTGGTTCTGTTATTTTTGTTGTTTGTGGTTCTGATTGAGGGATTTATGGTTGAGATATTGGTTGTTGTTCTGGTTCTTGTTCTGATTGTTGTTCTGGTTGTTGTTGTGATTGTTGTTCTGGTTGTTGTTGTTCTGATTGTTTTTATGGTTGTTGTTGTTCTGGTTGTTTTGGAGTAGATTCTGCTGGTGGTGTTTGTATTGATTCTGCTATTTGTGAAGGTTGTGGTTCAGATGAGGGAATGTCAGATGATGGTTGTGGTGCAGATGTTGTTTGAGTGGATTCTGGAGGTGTAGGAGAG